TGCGACTGTCATCACGAATGCGACTACGACTGCGAGAACAACAAAATTCTACAACTGGCTTCTCATCTGAATCCGAAGGGGAATGCTTCCAGCATGCTCCTACACATCGCTGTTAGGATGCTTTGCTGGGATAATTCGTTGTTTGGGCGTCAAGGTGGTGGCCTCATGGGAGCCCCTTTCCATTGGCATTTGTCCCCCGCCGCCGTGGCCACCGGAGTTGCTGCTGTGATCTCCTTTCTTGCGGAACTACCTCAACTCCACGCGCATACTCAGTCTCGAGCATTCCGGAGGACTCCCCGAGACTTCCTTAAGAATCTTCGGGGTAAGCCCTTAGGGTTCACAGAGGAAGCCTCAGGATCCACCGAGACTTCCTTTGGATTCCTCGAGCATTCCTTGGGATTCCACGAGCATTCCTGGCGATTCCTCGAGAATTCCATGAGATTCCTGAAAAAACTTCCTTGGGATTCCTAGAGACATCCTTAGGATTCCTGGAGACTTCCTTCGGATTCATGGAGAATTCCGAAGGAATCCTTACGAATTCCTTGGGATTCCTTGGGCATTCCTATGGAATCTCAAGGATTCCTTAGGATTCGTTTGGGATTCCTTCAGATTCCTGGAGGCTTCCTGAAAATGCCTAGTGAATTCCTTAGGATTCCTCTAAGATTCTTTCGGACTCGTCCGGATTCCTTCGGATTCCTCTGAAATTCCTTCGGATTCCTGTCGGATTCCTTGGGAATCCGGAAGAATTCCTAAAGACCCTCTGGCATTCCTTAGGATTATTAAAGAATTCCTTGGGGTGCCTGGGGACTTCCTAAAGATTCCTGAGAATTCCTTAGGTGTGCTGGAGGGTTCCTTGGGATGCCGCGAGGATTCCTAAGGATTCCTGAAGATTTCCTTAAGATGTCTTCAAGATTCCGTAGGATTCCTTCGGATTCATGATAGCTTCCCGGAAAAATCCTTATGTTTCTTGCAGGCTTCCGAATTCCCTAGGATTCCAAGAACATGTTCTTGGGATTCCTGGAGAATCCTTCAGGATTCCTCAGGGATTCCTTCGGGTGACTGATGAATTCCTCATGATTCCTCAGGACTTCCTTAGGATGCCTCAAGAATTCCTTGGGATTCTTGGGGAACGCCTTAGGTTTCCGAAAGAATTCCTGAGGATTCCTGGAGAACTCCTTAGGATTCCTCGCAGCGTGCCGGCCATAAGTCAAGTGTAAAGAACGTGTAAATTATATAGGGTTTTCGTACACCTGTATAGAAACCCAACCTAACTACCGGCCATAAACAGCCCGGCCATAGAAGACAGGTGCCCCTACTACTACTACTACTACTACTACTACTACTACTACTACTACTACTACTACTACTACTACTACTACTACTACTACCACTACTATGTATACTTCTTCTTCTTCTTCTACTACTACTACTACTACTACTACTACTACTACTACTACTAAACTACGACTACGACTACGACTACGACTACTACTACTACTACTACTACTACTACTACTACTACTACTACTACTACTACTTCTACGACTACGACTACGACTACGACTACTACTACTACTACTACTACTACTACGACTACTACTACTTCTACGACTGCTGCTGCTACTATTGCTACTACTGCTACTACTAGTACCACCACTACTTCTCCGACGACGACTACTACTACTACTACTACCAGTACTACTAGTACTAGTACTAATACTAGTACTAGTACTAGTACTATTACTAGTACTACTACTACTACTACTACTACAACTACTACTACTACTACTACTACTACTACTACTACTACTACTACTACTACTACTACTACTACTACTAGTACTAGTACGACTACTACTACTGCGACTACGACTACGACTACGACTACGACTACTACTGCTACGACTACTACTATGACTACTACTACGACTACTACACTACTACTACTACTGCTACTACTACTACGACTACTACTACTACTACTACTACTACTACTACTACTACTACGACTACGACTACGACTACGACTACGACTACTACTACTACTACTACTACTACTACTACTACTTTAACTACGCTCGCGACTGCCGTCAGAATTGCAAAAAAACTCAAGGTCCCTCCATCTTGCAGGATACCCAGGCAACACTATCCGATGCGAAAAAACAATGATCCAGCAGTCTGCAACAAGGCGAATAATAGTGCGCAACTAATCCCACGCGAGGCAACCACATAGCAAACTCACCATAACTATGGCGAGCTCTCACTGCGCACGATTCCCCTCTTGACTCCCATATGCGGACGACGACAACGATTATGAGGACGATGACGACGACGCGCCGACCCGATTAGAGATGTAGCGAATTATCTGACAATCCTTGCGCAAGGAAACTCACAAGTCCTCTGTCGTGCAGGATCACCCAGGAAACATTGTCCTATGAGAGGCAAAACCGAATACCCATGATAATCACACCAGGGGGATACTCAAATTTCGGGGTTCGGGTGGATGATCAATTTCTCGTTCCAGCCACTCGTTTGTACGGAAGTGGGAATGGGATGTTCTCTTCGGGGGCCTCATGGCCCTGCCGCACGTTCGTGACATGGGAAAGCTGAAATGGTGAGGAAAGCATGCCCCTGCCACACGTTCGCTCGGCAAGCTGTATTGTGAGAATCCCACATCCCTGCCACGCGTTCGTTATCGTATTGCTACTCAACACTAACATATAACAAACCTCGATTCGTACTTTCGCCGGTGATAATGAAGTTCGGCCTCGCCGCCCCTTTCCCCCGATCAAATTTGTCTTGGCCCAGGAGGGAAAACTCTCAGGTCTTCAAAAAGGATGCGTTATCATGCAGGGCTCTCGGAGAACCACCCAACCCTATCCAACACGGCGGACAACAACGCGCGATCAATTCCACGCGAGGCGAGAACCGGACAAACTCAGCACAACTATACCGAGCTCTTACTGCGCACGGTCACTTGAGCGAGTCCCATATGAAGACGGCGACGACGAGGATCGCAACGACGACAAGGGTGGGGAGACAAGAGCGACGACGATCGCGACGACTAAGACGACGCACGACGATTGCGACGATCATGACGACGAGGGCGAGAAGGGGAGGGCAAGGAAAGCGAGGAAGAGTATTGCCAGCCGAGGGAGCTTTGGGGGGGAGGCGTGCAGCATGAAAGACCCTTCGCGATCATTTACACTGCGTTTGGGCCGCCATTGGCCACTAAGTGGAGGACGAGCATAACATGGTAAAATGGACATGTCCCTGGCCCCGTTCTTGGCCAGAACGATGAAGGGCTATGAAGCCCGATTGCAAGGGGCCCTTGATAAGGCCAGACTCAGTAGGATTTGGCCGGAATCTGCCCGATGAAACGGGGCTCAGCCAGCTTAGGCCGGCTTTCGACCAGTGCCAGCAGAAGAGCGACACGCAGCCCGCGAAGCATTCTTTTGAGGGACAGCGGCGATACATCGCTGTTAGATCGGCGATAGGCTGTCGAAGGTTCAGAGTTCGAAGTTTTCGGGCGCTGTCGCTTCGTCGCTGTCTCTCGGCGGCGCTCCGGCCTCGGGAAGACTTCCAGCGGCTGTGCCTCGACGAAGGAGCCTTTTTTGGGGGCTCCGGGGTCGATCCGAACCGAGGCTGGAGGCCCGAGCTATGGCCCGACAAAACGCCAGGGGACCCGCTCGGGGCGGAAAACATCAACCTCGAATCGGCGATGAATCGCCGACAGGCTCTCCATCACGCAACTGGGGCGGGCTCTCCCGCGGGCCCCTCGAGGGGCCACGGTGGGACGGGAATGAGCTCAGGGGGGCCCCCCATCGCCCACTCATCGCCGACAGAGGCCTGATAGCTTACCTCGCCCAGGAACGCGGACATATCCCGATCTACCTGCGATGCATAGCCAATTCAAAGTCGATGATTCCCGTCACCCAGCCTCCCCCCTGACGTGGCCTCTCAACCCTTGGGGCCGTTACCAACCGAGCAGAGGGAGGCTTCGCAAGTTTCTGGAAACCCTCGCCAAATCCTGGCGGTGTTTCGGCATTTCTCCCTCAGGGATGCGTCCCACCAGCCGCGCCTCGCCGAGAACGTGCCAGGGTTACGAGGATCGTCCCGAACGGCCGCTTGAGGCCCGAGCTGTGGCCCAAAAACCACACCTCTAACGGTGTTCCTCGATTTCGGCTCCTGGGGGCCACTTTCGGGCCCGGGACAATGATAACAGCGGATCCGGGGGGACAAACTATACCAAATGATGCGGCCGGGACCTCCAGGGCCGCGGTTTGGCAAAAACACATCGGCGGTTGCCGAGGAGCATATCCATATCTACATCCACGCCCTCGCGGTCTGGACACCGAGGAACGATCCTATGGATACGCGGTCCCATGGACACGTTCCGCGCGGGGCATCCTCGCAAAGTCTAATTGTGTCCATGGGGTCGCGACGGAACGGTCCAGGCCGCGATGTCGTAGACATGGTCTTCACCTACGACTCGTGACCACAAATCGCCGCTCACAAACAAGCGATCCAAGCAGTTCAGAGGCTGTGGGCACTGAGGATGCCAGAACTGGAGGCACCCATAGATGGCTTCACACGCGGGGCATCTGGAGGCCACGGGCTGGATACACAACACAGGAGGACCAGCGTGCCTGTCCATAGAAGGGTCAAGCGCTGAAAATGCACGCGGGCACATGTCAGGTGCACCCAAATCTCGCACTATCTGGCGGCGTCAAGGGTATCCAGCTTCCTGGTATCCGTTCACGGTAGTGTGAACGCAATTATCGGGGAAACCCAGCTGTACTGATGCCGCTTCTCCCCGGACCTCTCCCAGGGTGCGTTCTGCCAAGAATTTCGAAGCGAATCCGGCCGTGGCGACGAGGGCCTCAGAGGAAACCTAAAAATTCGAAAACGAGGCAAGGGCATCGGTATCGGCATCTTTTCCTCCGAGATAGGGGTCGTCCTCACTACCGTGGAGCGGCAAGAGAAGAATCGGGCAGGACCTCGGGTACGTGAGGGCTGTCTGCAGAGCGACTGCCCCGCCCTGGGAGAACCCGCCGATCAGCACTCTGCCTTCTGGCACGCCGTCGTCTCGATGCAGGGCCTCGGATGCAGAGGGCCAGGCCAAACGCTTCACCGAGCAGAGCAGACCAGAGCAGAGAAGCACGGTAGGCAAAACTACCAAGATAAGGCTCCCGATGACTCGAAGAGAAGAAAGATCAGGGGCAAGCATGATCTCGGAATCCGAAAAGGCAGCGTGGACTCGAGGCCTGGTGGATGACCGGAAGAGAGCGCAAATAAGTGGTTAGTTAAGAAGGCCGCCGTGCAGCGCGAGAGGGCGACCGAGCAGCCACAGATGAAGATCGAAGGGTCGACCAGGCGGATCGTGCCCCGACGCTCGGAGAGATGCGGATGGCACCCGAAGAGGGCCACCAGGGAGCTGCACGCGGCCCGCCAGGGGGCCACGAAGCAGGAGAGGTCCAGGCGCCATGACCCAAAGGGGGGCGATCGAGGGGTAAGACGAAGCCAGGACAAGGACGACACTCGGCAGGGATCATCCTGGACCCCTGCAATCCGACATGTCTCCAAAATGTAGCGGGCGCCGTCACGGGCCCGAGCGTTCCGGAACGCTCTGGGACGGCCTCATCCCTGTCTTCTTGAGCAGGGACCGACCGTCCCTGCATTCCTATAGGCCTACCACGAAATGTTCTTAGAACCCAGAAGTGTTCCAAAAACAAGAACAATGTTCTTAGAACATATTCCCGATGTGTTAAAACAAGACAAGTCCCAGCCAGAAATGGTCTTAAAAAAATTCGTGGAGACATAGAACATTATTAGCACATTGTTTGGTAGGCCTATAGTCGGCGGTGGACAAACCTCCTTTTGGTAAACCTCCCTTTAAAGAAAACGGCCTTGGACAGAAACCGACGGACCTGGACCCGCAAAAATGACGGCCGTGACGCCCTCTCGCAAACCGAAAACGGCCAATTCGCTAATCGACGTGTCAGGGTAGGTCTGTCCACCCCCGATATAGGCACGCCAAGACGCTTCGCCACTGCTTGATCCTCCCAACCCCGCCCGAGAGGGAGCCGGCCCAGGGCCCCGAGCCGGCTCGGGACCCTCCGGCTCAGGGCCCGCCGCCCCGGCATCGGCGACGCATCGGCGCTGGGCCCGCCGACGGCGACTCCGCACGCTCCTGGGCAGGGTGGGCCACGCGGCCCCTCTCGGCGATCAGCTGGGCGACTGGTGGTCGATGCGCCCCCCTTCCCCACCCCCTTGAGCCTGTCCAGCTCTATCGGCGGTGGACAAACCTCCCTTTGGTAAACCTCCCAGAGAAAACGGCCTGGGACCGGAGCCCACGGGCCCGGACCCGCAGAAATGACGGCCGCGACGCCCTCTCGCGAACCGAAAGCGGCCAAGTCCTTCATCGACGTGTCCGGGTAGGAGGTCTATCGACCTCCGACCCTCACTCTGCCCTGGGAATCGGGGATGGACAGACCTCCCTTTAGGTAAAACGTGGTTTAGTGAAAACGACCTCGGGCCACAACCTGGCGGGCGCAAGCCTGGAAAATGACGGCCGCGGCGCCCTCTCGAGAACCGAAAACGGACAATTCACTCCTCGACGTGTCACTGCTGGGGGCTCTGTCCACCCCCGAGGCAACCGACGACCGCGCCCCCGAACGACGAGCTCCGCTCCGGAGAAGCCCAGAGCGGCGCTGCCGCGAGGCGGCCCGCGAGACCTGCCGGCGGCCGCCGCAGAGGCCCGGGGCCCAGGGCGGGCTCCACGGCGCTGCCGCGGGGCAGCCCGCGGGGCACGGGCGCCCTGGTGGAAGGGGGCACGGGGACACGCAAATTCGCCGGCCCAACGGGCCAGAGGCGTGCTAAGATCTCTGGAGACTGGTGAACAATATTTCCAGTTCGCGCGCGCGGGGCGGCCCCTGGGGGTCCCCTGGCGAAGAGGATCCCGACCGCAGCCCGACCAGGTCTACTCAGAGATGGTTTTGAGGGCCTTCGCCCCAAGAGGCCCCCAAGAGCCCCCCAAGAGGCCCAAGGGGGCCGCAAGACGCCGCCAAGGAGCCCCAAGAGACCCCCAAGAGGCCCCCAAGAGGCCCCTATAGGAGGCCCCGAAGAGGCCCCCAAGAGGCTTCAAAGAGGCCCCATAGAGCGCTCGAGGGCCGGCGGAATGAGCGAAGCGATTAAATGAATACGCACATAACAGGATCCCCCATATTCTCCCATGTTTTCTGGGTTTTTGTCCTCCCCCCCACTTCCCAAATGTTCTGGGGAATCGACGATTCACTGTGTCTGTCTGTGTTTTTCCCCTCCTGACTGGTGGGCACCGCGGCGGCCTACAACAAACATCGGAGGCTGGAGCTCCGCCGGGAGGCGGCCACGAGAGGACGAAGGCCACGGCCGACGAGCGAGAGCCCCGGAACCCCGTGCTGCCCGAAGGGTCGCCGAATGAGGAACGGAGAGGCGTCGCTGTGGCCGGGGCCAGCCCAGGCCACGACCAGTCTCCCCTACCCAGACTCGGGGAGAGCCCGAGAGGCCGGAGCACCTCCTGAGCCCGAACCCGATGCGATCCTCACCGCAGCGTCTCGGCTGTGCTGCCCCGCAGGGGACCTCAGGAGGCCCCCGCAGCGGTGCGCCTCAGCGAGAGCCGTCTGGGAGCGCCCGAAACGCCCCAACCTGCCACGGCGACCCCAGGACGCCCCCCCCCCTGCGACACGGAGCAGCATGGCCTGGGTGCGCGGGTGCCTGCCGGGAGGGATCAGCATCTTCTCTCCGTGCTTGCACCGGACAGACCCGAGGCGGGAGAGGACGCGGGGACGGACACCGCGGATGCTCTCCGTGCGGCACGGAGCACCACACCCTGGGTGCGGTGATGCCTGTAGGGAAGGCGCAGCCCCGATCCGCCGCCTGCGCACAGGGGAAGTGCGACCCCAGACCCGAGGCGGAAGGGGGAGGAAGCGGGGACGGACACCACGGACGACCTCCGTGCGACTTGGATCACTCTGCCCTGGGTGTGGCGATGCCCGCAAGGAGGGCACAGCCCCAGCTCACTGTTCTTGCGTCGGTTCGGTGCGACCCCAGACCCAGGGTGGAAGGGGGAGGAGGCGGGGACGCACACCACGGACGCTCTCCGTGCGACTCGGATCGCCATATACCCTGGGTGTCACGATGCCTGCAGGGAGGGCTCAGCCCCACTCCACCGACTTTGCAGCGGTTAGGTGCGCTGCCCCTGCTTCCTCGTCGACGCGGGTGGAATCTCGGGGCGTCAGAGAACACGGGTATGGAGGTAGGAGAGAGCCTGGACATCCCTCGTCGCCGCGGCCGGAAAGCGGAACCCAGCAGCACAATCGCGAGCAGCGCGACGAACCCCAGCCGCAGCCTCGGAGCAACACTGCGGAGGAGCGAGCCTTGGACCCAGACATGGCATTGCTGAATGGACCGGGGAACCCACCCAGAGGCTGCCAGGATCTTAAAATAAGATCGTGTATGTAGTATCTCAGTTTCGAATAAATTATAATTGTTTTGTAGAAATCCGCTGGCCCTGTCTGCGTGTGTGAGGGGCTTTTCCGTTCGAGTCGTCGTCGCCGTCGTTCGTTCATCGTCGTCTCTGTCGTCCTCTTTCCCTGCGCTTTCCTTTCCCTTTGCCCGTCGCCGATCCCCTCTCCTTTCCTGTGCTCTCCTCCTCAAGCGCGTCAATCAACACGAAATTGAGCAATGTCGTCACACACTCGAAGGGAATCCCCTTCCCTTTGATCCCTCCCCTGCCGGGAGGGGGGGGGGGTCCGGGGTTCGGACCCGGGTGGGTCCCGGGAGAGGTCCTGGGGGGGGTCCCAGGTCAGATGCGATTCCCCTACGGGGGCTCCTGGCCCGCAAAAAAAACTTCAAGACGGGCCAAGCGTGCCCCAAACGCTCCCAAAGACAGTCCACGAGGGCCCCGAATCGCGGAACGATCTGTCCAAGACGCCTGGACGGCCTCCAGACGGCCCAAGAATCCTGCAAGACGCTCAAAGAAGCCTCCAAGAACAGTCCCAAGAGCGCCTCGAGAACAAGAACCATAGATTCCCAACCATCCTGTGGGTTTGGGTCCTCGTTTTGAAAAGACAACGCCCCGCGTCACTCACTCCTCCTCCTCCCCCTCCTCCTTCCTCCCTGCGTTTCACCCACCCAGTACAATGTTTCGCGGCCCCATCGGGAGCTTCACCGAAGGCCCCAGTGCCACCGCCCGCATGCGTCACGCACACCCACTTCGGCACACCCCTCACACGGTTCGTGGCCCTACAGGGAGCTCCACCGAAGGTCTTAGTGCCACCGACCGCATGCGTCACGCACGCCCATGTAGGCAAACCCCTCACACGTTTCGTGGCCCTACAATAAGCTCCACCGAAGGCCCCAGTGCCACCGACCGCATACGTCACGCACCCCCATTTAGGCACACCCCTCACACGCTTCGTGGCCTCATGGGGAGCTCCACCGAAGGCCCCAATGCCACCGCCCGCATGCGTCACCCACACCCAGTCCCGCACACCCCTCACACGTTCCCAGTGCCACAACCTGCATGCGTCACGCACGCCCATGTAGGCACACCCCTCACACGTTTCGTGGCCGCTCCACCGAAGGCCCCAGTACCATCGCCCGCATGCGTCACGCACACCCACTTCGGCATACCCCTCACACGTTTCGTGGCCCCATCGGAAGCTCCACCGAAGGCCCCTGTGCCACCGCCCGCATGCGTCACCCACACCCATTCCCGCACACCCCTCACACGTTTCGTGGCCCTACAAGGAGCTCCACCGAAGGCCCCAATTCTATCGCCCGCATGCGTCACCCACACCCATTTCGGCACACCCTCACTCGCTCCGTGGCCACAACGGGAGCTCCACCGAAGGCCCCAGTGCCACCGACCGCATGCGTCACCCATACCGTCCCGCACACCGCTCACACGCTTCGTGGCCCCATCGGAAGCTCCACCGAAGGCCCAAGGTGCCACCGCCCGCATGCGTCACCCACATCCATTCCCGCACACCCCTCACTCGCTCCGTGGCCCCATCGGAAGCTCCACCGAAGGCCCCAGTGCCACCGCCCGCATGCGTCACCCACACCCAGTCCCGCACACCCCTCACACGCTTCGTGGCCCCACAGTGAGCTCCACCGAGGCTGCGTTCGGATGCGCCCACCGCACCTTTTTTGGCGCACCTCTCAGCGGCTTCAGTGGCTACTTTCGCATGCGCCCACGGGGCAAAATTTTGCACATCCCTCACACGTTTCGTGGCCCTACGGGGAGCTCGTCCGAATGTGGTGCGTGCAACGACGGTACTCGCAACTGCATATGGTTGGGTCCTTCGCCCGGCTAATTCGCATTCCCGCTGTTTCGTTTCCGATGGGTTCTTGAGGCGTCAAAATGGCCCCAAGATGTCCCCAAATAGCCCGAACAGAAGCTCAAGAGGACCCCAAGAGGGCCCCAAAAGTGTCCAAGAGCGTTCCAAGAGCGGCCCAAGAGGGCACCCAGAAGGCATTGCCGAGACTCCCCTTTTTTCTGAACAGTGGGGGCCAAGATGGCCCCTAGAGGAGTCCCAGACCACCAGAAAGAGTCCCAAGACGGATCCAATACACCCACAAAGAACCCCAAATATGGTCCCAAGAGGCCCCACGGGCACCCCACGAGAGCCTCGAGATGACCCCAAGAGACGTCCGAGAAAACTGTTCCGAAGTAGTTGTTGCACTGCTTACTGCATCACTTCCAGCGCCAGCAGCAACACGAACACAACCTACAGCAACACCACTGGCAGAACGACAGTACCAGCAGCAGCACCACAAGCAGAAACACCAGCAACAGCACCAGCAGCAGCACCACAGGCAGCAACACCAGCAACAGCACTACCACCACCACCACCAGCAGCATCAGCAGCAGCAAGAACACCACCACCACCAGCAACAGCACCAGCAGCAGCACCAGCAGCAGCACCAGCCCTGCAGCCGCACCACCATCACCACCAGCACCAGCAGCACGAGAACCAGCAGCACCAGCAGCAGCACCAGCAGCAGCAACAGCACCAACAACAACGCCCGCACCCTTCGTTACCAAAGATCTCCCAATTCACCGTTGGGCATCGTTTCTGGATGGGCTGGTGGGGAGATGCGAAACGTCAAGCATAGATCTCCCGTGGAGGGCGCGATCCGAAGCTGTCCTTAGGGAATTGCCCCTGATCTCTGACGCTCCGGGGTGCCCGTTTTGGCCCTCTGTGAACAAGCTTAGGCCACTCCTCCCCCAAAACACCCGTTGCCCTGATCCCGCAGCCACCACGCCTGACATTCCCGGGCGGGGGGCATATTTCAGCCTGCGGGCCCAAGTTTAGGAGCCCCCAGCCCCTCCCTAAAGCACTGAAGGGACCGAGCGGCTCACCTCCGACCGAAAGCTGCTGGGCCCAAACGACTCCCCTCCGACCGCAAGCTGAGGAGACCGAGCGACTGACCTCCGACCGAACACTGGTGTGGACCAAGCAGCCCACCTCCGGCAGAACACTGAGGGGACCGAACGACTCACCTCCGACCAAACACCGAAGGGACCGGACGACGGGCCACCGAGCAATGAAAAGGGCCGAAGGACTCACCTCCGACCGAACGCTGAATGACTCACCTCCGACCGAAAGCGGAGGGTGTCGAACGACTCACCTCAGATCGAACGCTGAGGGGACCGAACGACCCACCTCCGACCGAAAGCTGCGGGGCCAGAGCGCCTCACCCCGACCGAACTCTGAGGGGACCGAACGATTCACCTCCGACCGAAAGCTGAGGAGCCCAAACATGTACCCTCCGACCGCAAGCTGAGGGGACTGGACGACTCACCTCCGACAGAAACCTGACGGGACCGAACGGCTCACCTCCGATCGAACACTGAGGAAGCCGAACTCCTCACCTCCGACCGAGCACTGATGAGGGCCGAACAACTCACCTCCGACCGAACACTGAAGGGACCGAACGACTCACCTTCGACCGAAAGCGGAAGGAGCCGAACGAATCACCTCCGACCGAACACTGAAGGGACCCAACCGATGGTCGTGGACGCATTTTCAGACACCGTTGCCCCGACCGCCGGGTGGTCGTGGAGTGTGGCTGGTATCTTGGTTTACTAGACACAGTCCAGATATGGCCACAACACCGCGGAACAAAAGCACTCCCCCCTAACACAATGCCGAAAGCCCCATGGAAATGCCGCGCAAAATGCTAGGCGGAGGGCCCAACCACGCAGAACACGAAACTACCCCCAAAGCACGCGGTGGCTCTCAACCCTCGTGCCAGCTGCAACGCCATCCCCATCCCCACCCGGGAGACCCCAGCCCAGCCCACCCGCCTAACCCGCCGCGAAGGTGGGGATGGGCGTCGTCTCCGTGGGGCCTCGCAGCGCCCCTCCCCGCCTGGACGGGGGTACGCTGGGACAGCCGTCGTACCCTGCCCTGGTAGGGCACGGGGTTGTTCTGACGATGGTGAACCTAACTCGGCGCGTCGCGCCCCCGCCATGCGCGGCCTCGGGAGAAGGGCCACCCTCCAGCCCAGACTGCGATGCGAGGAAGCGCGAGCATCGTCGCGCCCCGACGGTGAACGCCCATCTCAGATCACCCGATCGACCCGCGCCCTTCGCACAAAGAGGCCAGAAAAGATGGCAAGCCTGCACAACATCATGAATTGCGCTCCCAGCCGAACGGTAGAAGCCGTCAATGTCGGGATCCTCCCCGCCCAACTGTTAACACATGCCTGCTTCTCAATGGCTGCACGATGCTCCATTTCCTGCTGATGCGGCCGCCCTGTCCCCAATCCCCCGCTATCTCCGCAATTGCCCGGCATGACTGCTACTGCTGCTACTGCTGCTACTGATATTAATACTGCTGCTGCTGCTGCTGCTGCTGCTACTGCTGCTACTACTACTACTACTACTACTACTACTGCTACTACTACTACTGCTACTGCTACTACTACTACTACTACTGCTACTACTACTACTACTACTGCTACTACTACTACTACTACTACTACTACTACCACTACTACTACTACTACTACTACTACTACAGCTACTACTACTACTACTACTACTACTACTACTACCACTACCACTACCACTACCACTACCACTACTACTACTACTACTACTACTACTACTACTACTACTACTACTACTACTACTACTACTACTACTACTACTACTACTACTACTTACTACGACTACGACTACTCGACGACTACGACTACGACTCCGACCGACGACTACGACTACGACTACGACTACTACTACTACTACTACTACTACTACACTACTGCTACTACTACTACTACTACTGCTACTACTACTACTACTACTACTACTACTACTACTACTACTACTACTACTACTACGACTACTACGACTACGACTACGACTACGACTACTACTACACTACGACTACGACTACGACTACGAACGCTACGACGGCTACTACTACTACTACTACTGCTACTACTACTACTGCTACTGCTACTGCTACTGCTACTGCTACTGCCACTGCTACTGCCACTACTACTGCTACTACTTACTACTACTACTACTACTACTACTACTACTACTATACTACTACTACTACTACCACTACTTCTACTACTACTACTACTACTACTACTACTACTACTACTACTACTACTACTACTACTACTACTACTACTACTACTGCTACTATTACTACTACTAGGGTCGCACCTGACGTATGGCCAGTGAGGTTTGGGTTTGGGTTTGGGTTTTGGCTTGGGTTTCTTTGTTTTCTATCCGAAACCAATTGTTTCAACTAGTTCCCTATTGGCAACCAATGGTTTTAATGAGCTTTCTATAGGAAATGGATGGTTTTTTAGTTTTCGATTGAAACCCATTTGTTTTAATTAGTTTCGATTGAAAACCAATGGTTTGGCTTCGTTTTCTATTGAACACCTATGGTTTAAATTAGTTTTCTATTGGGAACCAATGGTTTTTACTTTGTTTTCTATTAGGAACATTTTGTTCTTTTTTTTTAGTTTCCCATTGGGAACCAATGGTTTTTATTAGTGTTCTATTGGAGACCAATGGTTTTTATTAGTTTTCTATTGCGAACCAATGGATTTTCATGAGTTTCCTATTGGGAACCATTTGGTTTCATTAGTTTGCTATTGGGAACCAATGGTATTTCTTTAGGTTTCTATTGGGAACCACTTGTTTTCATTAGTTTCGATTGGAAACCAATGGTTTCCATCAGTTGTTTATTGGAAACTATTTTATTTTTAATATAAAAAAATCCATTGGAGACCAATGGTTGTTGTTATTTTTCTACTGGGAAAAAATGATGTTGAACTACTTTCTCATTGGAAACCAATGGTTTTAATGAGTTTTCTTTTGGAAATGAATGGTGTATATCAATTTCCGATTGAAAACCAATTGTTTTAATTAGTTTGCGATTGAAAACCAATGGTTTGGCTTAGTTTTCTATTGAACACCTATGGTTTTAATTAGTTTTCTATTGGGAGCCAATGGTTTTAATTTGTTTTCTAGTGGGAACAAATGATTTGTATTAGTTTTCCATTCGGAACCAATGGTGTTTTGATTAGTTTTCTATTGGAAACCAACATGGTTTTCATTAGTTCCCCATTGGGAACCAATGGTTTTGATTGGTTGCGTATTGGAAACAAATGGGTGTTATTATTTTGTTTGGAAACCAATGGATTTCATTAGCTTCCCATTGGGAAATCAATGGTTTTAACTAAGGAAACCAATAGTTCTAATTAGTTGTCCGTTGGGAGCCAATGGTTGTTATTAGTTTTCTATTGGAAGAAAATGGTTTTCAGCAGCTTTCGATTGGGAAACCAATGGCTTTAATGAGGGAAACCAATAGTTTCAATGAGTTCCCCATTGGAAACCAATTGTTCTCAGTAGCTTTCAACTGAAAACCAGCGGTGTGACTTCATTTTCTATTGGAACCCAATGGTTTCAACTACTTTTGTATTGGGAACCAATGAGTTTAATTAGTTTTTTTTTCCCATTGGGAAACCAATTGTAATACTTAGTTTTCTATTGGCAACCAATGGTTTTAATTAGTTTTTTACTGAAAACCCAAATGGTGTTTTATTAGTTTTCCGCGGAAAACAAATTGAGCAACTTAGACTTCTAATGAAAACGCATTGGTTTAATTAGTTTTCTATTGAAAACCAATGGTTTTCATTAGCTTTCTGTTTGGAACCAAATGTTTGAAATTCGTGTTCTCATGAAAACAATGGTTTTACTTAGTTCCGATGAAAAACGCGCTGTTTTCATTATTATTCTAATGAAAACCATTTGTTTCAATAGTTGTAGATCGTCTCCTTTTTGAAACCAATGGATTGCACTAGTGTTCTATTGAAAACAAATGACTAGTTTTCTCTTTAAAAAATGTTTAAATTGGTTTTCAATTGAAAACTCTTGGTTTTAATTCATTGTCTATTGTAGCAAATTGGTGTAACCAGTTTTTCTCCAATGAAAACAAAGTGTGGTAATAGTTGTAATTCGTTGTCGTTTGAAAACCAATGGTTTACATTAGTGTTCTACTGAAACAAATGGTTTTGATTCGCTTTCTATTCAAAACGAATGGTTTTAATGCATTTGCTGTTGAAAGCGAATGGTTTTACTTAGTTGTCTGTTGTAACAAATTGGTTAAATCAGTTTTATATAGAAACATATCGATCTAATCAGCTTCGGGATGAATGAAACCGATGATATATTTCTTATTGCAACCAATTGTTCAACTTAGTTTCTATTGAAAGCAATTGTTTTATTCAGTTTTCTATATAAAACATATAGTTGAAATTAGTTTTCTAATGAAATCATTTGTTTTAATTAGTTTCCTATTGGAAGCCTACTGTCTCAATTAGTATATTCATACTGGGGCTAGCCATATCTGGGGGCTGCGATCTGCCAAGCTGTCGCCACTTTCGAGGGTTGTTGGGGGGCCCAGCTGGGTGACGCCCCACGCAGATTCATATTCGACATCGCCACCCCTGGGGGGCTGTGGTCTGCGAAACTGTCGCAGCTTTCGAAGGCTGCTGGGGGGCCCAGCGGACTGACGCCCCGCGCAGATTCATATTACACCTGCAGCTAACGCAGGTCGCGCGCGCCTCGTCGCGCTCGTGCACCGCGGAGCGGGGTTGCTTTTTTGGCGCCGCCGGCAACCAATCACACAATTCCTCGCCCTCCTCCTCCTCCTCCTCCTCGTCCTCCTCCTCCTCGTCCTCCTCCTCCTCCTCCCCCTCCTCCTCCTCCTCCTCCGCCTCCTCCCTACCCCCTCCTCCTCCTCCTCCTCCTCCTCCTCCTCCTCATCATCATCATCATTACCCGAATCAGCATCATCCTCATCATCTTCACCATCATCACCATCAACATCACCATCATCATCCGAATCATCATCATGCCCACCACCACCACCATCATCATCATCATCCTCATCCTCATCCTCATCCTCATCATCATCATCATCATGAACATCATGATCATCATGATCATCATGATCATCCTCCTCCTCCTTTTCCTCCTCCTCCTTTTTCATCATCCTTTTCCTGCTTGGCCTCCTCCTCCTCCTCGTCCTCCTCCCCTCCTCCTCCCCCTCCTCCTCCTGATTCTGGCCAGGGGGCAAGGGGGGGTGAGCGGATTTCGCTGGAAGCTTCCTTGACAAATCTTTAGGTTTCCTGCAGGCTTCCTTGGGATTCCTGAAGAATTCCAGAGGCTTCAAAAAGATTTCCTTGGGATTCCTGGACAGGGATTCCTTAGGATTCCTGATGAATTCCTTGGGATTCCTCCGGAATTGCTTAGGATTTCTGCAGAATTTCTTAGGATTCCTAGGGAATTCCTTAGGTTTCCTGGAGAACTCCTGAGGATTCCTCGTGAATTCCTTAGGATTCCTTTCAGCGTGCCGGCCATAAGTCAAGTGTGAAGGACGCGTAGCTTATATCGGGTTTTCGTGTACCTGCATAGAAACCCAACCAAACTACCAGCCATAAAAGGGCCGGCCATAGAAGACGGGTGACCCTACTACTACTACTACCTACGACTACGACTACGACTACGACTACGACTACGACTACGACTACGACTACGACTACGACTACTACTACTACTACTACTACTACTACTACTACTACTACTACTACGACTACGACTACTACTACTACTACTACTACTACTACTACTACTACTACTACTACTACTATCTCGATCCGCAGAAAATATGCGAGCGGAACTGCAGATCATGCCCCACCACACACAGATGAGGAGGTGGAGGAAGAGGATGTGGAGGAGGGGTGTTGCCACTACTACCACCACATTGGTGCACTGAAAACTACGATTCCAATAACATTGCAATAGTATTAGGGTGCTACGTTACGACTGCAACACTACTACAGAACTACCACCACCACCACTACTTCTACTACGACTACTACTACTTCTTATTCCTCTACAAGTGCTACAACTACTACTACTACTGCTACTACTACTACTACTACTACTACTACTACTACTACTACGACTACTACTAATCACTTTGCGACTACTTCTTCTATTTCTCCTACTACGACTACTACTACTACTACTACTACTACTACTACTACTACTACTACTACTACTACGACTACTACGACTACTACGACCAATACCCTTACGGCGACGACTACTACTACTTCTACTACTACTAGTACTACTACTAC